TCGTTAAATCGTTTATAAGTTTACTAATAAATTTTAATGGTATGGCGTCTTCTTTAGAATTTATAAGATCATTCAAGAATATTTGCACTTTTTCTAAAGATGAAAAACTATTAGACATTTTGAAATATATATATATATATATATATTGCTATTAAAAATTTTTTTTTTTTTAATAAATGGTATGGTAGTACAATTTATAATTGATATAGTAACACGAAATTTGCGTATATTAATTATGAAAGATGGACTCAACATTATTATCGGGTTACTTTAGCGAACATGAAGAATTAATGAATTCAAAAGAGAATTGTGATGTGCAAATATATGTTGGTGAAGAACCAAACACTATAGAAATTTATGCACACTCATTTATTCTTTTTGCTCATTGTCGGTCCTTCAAAAATATTTTGTCCACTGCACAAAAAGAAAATGGGTATTTTATTGTTAAGTTACCAAATATTAATCCACCTGAATTTTTTAAATGTATTCTAACGTAAGTTTATTAAATTATATATATATATATATATACATATACATATATATATTAATCGAATATTCATTGTATTAATTAATATTAATTTTATTTATGTAATATTGACTTTATTTTTAAAAGATATTTATATACTTGCAAAATAGAATTAAACAATTATAATGGAATTGATATATTGAACATATCAATCATAGCTGATAGATTTGGTCTTGAGTCATTTTGCAAATCTATAGAAGTTCAATTTATTAAAAATATTGATAAATATGTGCAAGAAAATCCAATCGAAATTTTACAATTAATTTATGAATATGAAAAGTTTCAAGGAATTAAAGATCATTGTTTAAAATCAGTTTGTAATAGCGGCAACAAATTATTTAAGTTGAATGGGTTTAATTCATTGGAAAAAAAAATCTTATTGGCAATTTTTGAAAGAAATGATTTGCTTGTTAGTGAAATAGATATATGGAAAAGAGTTCTTGATTGGGGATTAGCACAACATCCAGAAATCATCAATAATAATAATTATGAAGATTGGTCATCACAAAATTTTGTTGATTTAGGAAAGACAATAAGAGAATTTATTCCTTTAATTAGATTCCAGGACATTGCTAACAAAGATTTTCGACAAGAAATTTTTCCATTACAAAAAGTTTTCCCTGAGGCTCTCTGGAATAATCTTTTACTTTATTATATAGATCCTAATAATGAATCAACTTCAAATTTATTACCTTCAAGAAATTTAATTACTATAAGTGAAGATGGTAGAACTCGTCTTGCAAGTTGGATTGATAGAAAAAATCCACCATATACTTCATTCAGGGAAGTCAAATATGATTTTAAACTTTTATATGCTAGTAGCAAAGATGGTTTAAGTGCAAATATATTTCATCAAAAATGTGATAATATTAGCAAAACACTTGTAATTGGTAAAATACAAAATCCAGAGCAATTAGTTGGTGGTTATAATCCATTTGATTGGAGTGGATGTAGACATAAAGGTACAACTGAAAGTTTTATTTTTAGTAGTACAAAATATAGTTATGTTAGAAATCTAAACAACATAAAGAATGCAATTTATTGTAATCCTTCTCATTTGCCCACTTTTGGTGACAAGGATTGTCCTGATATTAAATTTAAAACAGATGGCAGTATTTATAGTTTTCCAACCTCTTATAATAGTATCGATATAGTAAAATGTAGTAATTTGATGAGTTACAAGTTTTTCAAATAATTAATAAAAACTAAATGGATAAACATAAAAGTGAAGTTATTATTATTGTTATTTTGCTAAATAAAATAAAATAAGACAAAAATTGTTAGCTTTATTTTATTTTTTGATCTTTATAATCTTTATTTATTAGAAAATATCTATAATTTTTTAAAAAAAGCAATAAATAAAGACATAAATTCTACATTTCCAAAAGAGAATTGTATGTGTTGGTGCAGAGTATACTATTTATTATTCATTCAAATACACAAAAAGAAATTTTATAAAATGCTAAATATTAATATTATTAAATTATCATTCTTTATAACTTGTTAAATGATTATATATATTAGCAGTTTTTACATATAAGATAAATAGGACAATTAATCCAAATATATAGATTAGGTAAGTACCCGATTGCCACCAAAGCAACTTACCTTCGATAATTACATTCGGGACTATTTGGATCTGATAATTTTTCAGCAATTCTTTTATGTCCCCTAACACGATGATGTCAGCATTGGCAAATATTAAAAGCTCTCGCGAAACACCAATTTGGTAATGCTAAATAAATTTCTTTTTCTAAATAAAATTACCCAAACCGGATAATTTTAAATTAAAAATCAGATGGAGCATTAGTCAATAGTTGATTTTCTGTATCTAAAAGAGAAACTTGTATTGTTGTGATAAAATCGTTATTGAAAACGTAAGGCTGTTAAACAAGCTGCTCGAGTTAATTTGTAAAGCGAGTCAAATAAATATAGACGATTGAATAAAATGAACTTTATAGAAGCCTTAGATCTTTGTAAAACAGCCATATTTACTTATTTACAGTTATCTGGTACCATTAAGCATGCTTGGAGATTCGCTGAAGCTTTCCAGGTACAGTAAAGTAATTTGTAAATTAATTAATTGACAAGCACCGAGTTACTGTAATTAACTGACCAGAATATCCTAAAAGCTAAGCCATCATCAGCAATACGCGTTAAATAAGCGGCATTAACCTTGCAATATTTTTACACCGTCATAGATTTTTCGTTTAATTTCGAGATTGGCGACGAGTCACCTGGATTGTTTTTCAGGCACTATACTACGCATTTACAATTTTTGATATTAATAACTAGAAATGGCATTCTTTCCTCTTTAGTTATTAGAAAAACCACCAATGTATAATTATGTCGGATTTTGTATTATATTGGATTTTATTAATACGTAGATTCCATGCTTTTGAAATGCTGGTAAGGATTAAAAATTTTACATGCAAATCATTCAGCAGCTATTAACATAGATAGCTATTGGGTAAATAAATAATTATCACAGATTTGATAATTGTTTTCAAAATCTTAATAAATTAGATTGTAAATTTGCATCATCAAGAATAGAATAAATAAAAGAAAAGGTTGATTATAGTCTGATCCAACTAATTAAATCACAAAATTATAACTATTAATCAAACTAATCAAATTTTATCAGATAACTTCAAACGCGATACTTGCAAACAATAATTTATTATTAAATAATAATTTAGATCATATATTATTACCAGCATTTAAAAATTTAAAATCTTTAACTGCTGCTGCTACTGCCGGTTTTGCTCCGATTTTTACTAGCAACATTGACAAAATAAAATTTTTGAAAAATGTCATTTAACAAGAACAAGAAGGTTGGTGTGGAGTCGCGCACAACAATATGCTGTCAGAAATCGAAGTTTTTCTTTTTTATCAAAGAATTTTGAGATGCGATTAAGTTCGAACGAAATCCAACACAAACATTGGTATTTTGATTAATTGCAAAACATAGTAATAGTAACTTGTCAGGAACTTTATTACAGAGTTGTGATTTATTTATTTCATTCATTCAATATTCGTCGTACACATTATTATTACTTTATTTCATAAGTGTTAATTAATTTGGGCGTAATTGGTTCATTCATAGTAATAGACTGTTTAAAGTTAACTTCCGAAATAATTGAACAAGAAGTATCTAAGGACGTCGATGTGATAAATGATATATATCGACATGTGTAGTATACTAGAATTCCATTAGCATGTAATCTAAATTTAAAATGAAATATTTTTAGTTTTCAATATTCTCTCATTACATTCACACTGAATATGCCCATTCTATATCTTGTTTAAGTTCAGTAATAAAATTTTTTTATAATTTCCAACCAATTTTATCGTAGAATTATGTGACTTTGTATTTACAATTAACAATAAAGTATCCGAAAAACTAAATAATTTATTATACTAGTAATTGATAATATATTCCTGAAATGTACATTCGGTATCAATACTAGCTAATACTGTTATCTACCTATTTTAGATCCCTGTTTAATGCTCAATTTGCTTATTATTTATTTCTCTTCACTGTAGTTGTTGGCCTTCAATCACTTATTATACCGTTTTCCTTTCCCGAACCGGATGCGAAGCATCCTAGAATTCTATTGTGCAATGATGTAATTTTTCATAAAATAGACTTTTTCGTGACCAAATGGTGCATTGATCAAGTAGTCTAATAGATTGCTTTGAAACCTATAAATAATTATATCCATTATCCCCACTTGTGGACCAATATATATATATATATATTGATTTTACTTTTTACGTTACATTAGAATGCGATTCTTGTGCCTAAATAGCAATATATATTTTGCTTTGTACGTTGGATTCGAATGCCAGGGTTGAGGCATGTAGTACCGGAATAGTAGTACGTAGTAATGATATCAACCGGTCGAGGAATTTTAATGTTCATTTCATTACTTAAAAAAAAAACTTACCATTCATCTGTCCCCCCCAAAAAACACACTACTAATAACAAACCATTAGGTAATAATCATTATGGTGAACCTTTTGATCATGAAAGGGATTTTGAATGGATTAACAAATAAGGAAAGTGTTATTATCTGACAGTGATATAGAGGTTTCTAATAAATTATTTCATCTGATGTTTCAGATAATACTAGTTTACATTTCCAGTTCAAGTTCAATTTCAAATAATAATACAATTATTCAAAAAAATCTATTCAGATCTTTTAGGTCAATTATCTGATAAAACTACTTTAAAGTAAGAATACCTTGCTTTAAAATTGTAGAATGAGCTTTAAAAGTTTCAATTTGGTCCTGGCTTTTCCGACTCTGATTTCTACATCATAAAAACTAGAATCATATTTTAACAATTCTGTTAAATCATTAACAAGTTTGCTAATATTTTCTTAACGGTAAAGCGTCATTGTTGTAATTAACAAGTTTTTTAAATAATATGCTTATATAAAAAATAGATATTCTAAAAAAAATTTATTATTTATATACTGCCCACAGGTAAATCAAAATTTATGACCCGATCTGGCTCGTCCAAAGCTCTAGCTGCAAACCAGTCGCCTTTATATAGATAAGCAGTTTATTTAAAAAAATATTTTTAAAAGTAGGATTAGTAGAATTTTGTAAAATCTTCAATTAGAGAAAGGTAATAACAAAAAAGAAAAACTCACAATTAAGTGAAGTTTAAACTATTAGCATTACATGTTATATGGATTATACTGTAGATGCAGTCTGACATTGTTGAAAGTATAGTTACGCATGTTATGCTTATTTTAAAATTTCAACATGTTAGAGAAAATGTTTATTTGATGAAGAGGAGGTGGTGGTAGCAAGTGATGAAATAGATTGGAAGTATCTCTTCAGAACCAGAAAAATCTCCCTCGAAAAAGGGCACCAGTTTAATCTTTTTTTTTTACGTATATAAATATGTACTACTTTCGTCAAGTGTTTTGACCTTCTTTAAGGATTTTTACTTTTTCAAATTGTCAAAATGGTCCTTGGTGGAAACTACCTTTAGTGAATACATCAGTCATAAAAATTTATTTTATTTATTTGTTACAAAAAATATCATAATAACAATCCATTAGATTTTGCCACATGTAGCTTTGGTTTTTAATGTTTCAAACTTTTCTATATGTAATAACTTTTATTATTATACATAAATGGGTGGATAGTTCAGGTTACGTTGATTCGTGCAATATAATTTTTACCATGTGTTTTTTAATAAATAAATTTATACCTTAATAATAAAAAAAAAAAGGTAAAACTAAATACAGTCAACCTCCCTAAATGCACCCTCTCTAAATCCATGCTTTCACTCATTCCCAAGCTTGGGACTTAAGAGATAAGTGCACCCCTCTATACCTGCACTGCACGGTCTTTTTTCATTCCCAACTATATAAAACCACCCTAAATGCACGCCCGTGACTTTTACGTGATTTATGCATTGTTAATCGTATACCCTTAGAAAATTTTACAATTACATGTTGTCTTAATTCCCAAATCTCAATTTTTAATTGTGTCTTGACTCAATTACTTATATGGTTTTCATATGACTCAATTAATTGCATCAAAAAGTCACCCAATTGAGTCAAGTGTAAGCATGTTAGCTGAAGTTGGCTCTCTTAATAATGG